TGGGCTGGAGGAGCTTAGGGATCCTCTCCGCAATGTCCCGGATATGGGCCACTGGGAAGCAGCAGACTTCCTGGGGTAAGGGGTCGGGGCAGCAGATTACTCCCTCTGTCCCCCTCAGGATGGAGTCTCCCACAACAAACACTTTACACTTTGTCTTGGGGAGAGGTTTGGTGACACCAAACAGCTTTACAAAAGCAGGTCATGGTGTTGCTCGGTTTTTGCCACCAAAAGAAAAATCACTTATAACAAAGTTTTGCGTCAGCCATCTCGAAATTGAAAACGGCTTTCAGGGGTTGTTTGCTTGGTGAGGCATTTCCATTGGTTTTATTTTAATGCAAGATGCAAGGATCTTTGTGGGTAAAATCTTGTGTTGGACCAGCTGGATCATTGGGAGGGATTAGAGACCAGGTGCCAAGTACCCCTCCTCGGGTCTCTGCAGAAGAAAAGCAGGTCCAGAATGAAACATTTTATTTGGTGTCAAATGAAGCATCTTATTCGAGCCATGATGGGGTTGGGTTTTGAACCTGCCTACACGTGGACCAGCTGTTCTCATGAGCTGGGCTGTTCTGCTGCTCCCTGTAGCTAATTGAAAGGGGTATGGGTGCGGGCAGGGGCAGAAGCCCAGGGAGCTGAGATCATATGCTCCTATTAGACCTTGACCTGGCAGCGTGGGAGGAGGCCTCTGGGGAGATGGGGAAAGCAGGGATCTGACCTGGACCACCTGATGCATTCAAGGTCCTCCAAGATTGGCATCAGTGTTTTGGCCTTTGAGGTGGCACGCATGGTGGTGGCATCAGTAAGTGTTTCAGCCTTTTACCAGATGATACGAGCACCCTGCTAGAGTTACTCTGGCTTGCAAACCTCAGTCAGGGTGACAGCAGGGGACTCGTTCAATCAACGTCCAGCAAGCTCGGAGATTGGCCTGTCTTTGAGCAGTGGGTGGGAGGCTCTGCTTGATCACCGATTGCCCTGTAGGCTCAGGATGGGGTGGGGAGCGATCTGTTTGCCCATCAGCGCAGGGAGATCCTTCTGATCGTTGGTCTGACCAGATCCCACTGTGGCCTCTTCTGGGGTCAAAGGGTCACATATGACGGTGTGGAGGTAAGAAGGGGTGAAAGGCCTGTACGATGTTGCAGCCCTTCTGCAAGAGCAGCCCAGGCTTTTGGGCTCTTGGCTGGACTGAGTGAAGTGCCGTGCTCTCCCATCCTGACCTTGCTGCTGATGCATTGTTTAACCAGCAGAAATTGCCTCTCGGGACCCCATTGCTATTCGGCTCGGCTTGGAGGTGTGCAACGTCAGCTATGGAAGGCAGTAGAGGACTGGATCACTTGGTTGCCTCAGGATGTGCTTGGCAGGTGGGTTTCCTCCCAATATTCCCTCACTGCAGCCTTCCCCTGCTGCTGCCACAGTCCTTGGCCAGCTTGCTCTGTTGCTCCAGCCATGTGAGCCCGCCTGCCTGAGACTCGCCCACTCCCCACGTGCACTTCAAGACAATGACTGCTTTAGCAAATGGACAGAAGGACAGATCCTGGGGCGCCTCTTCTCTACACAGACGCACTCCTGCTATTAGTAGGAACCCCGGCTGAGAGAGGATTTGAGTGCGTGTGTGGGGCTGCTGGTTGCCAGCGAGGGATGCTGACGCTGCAATGTCCCACCAGCTGTTCCACGTGTGCCTTTGCAGCCCTGTGATGGGGAGTGGAGATGCAATTATCCTTGTGCCTACCTGTCAGGTTTTTTATTTGAGTCTCTTACTTACCTGGCAAGGGAAATACCAAGACCACCAAGGTGGTTTTCCTACTGGCTGGGGAAAACCACGAATGTGGCACAGGGCAGCGCCCTGACTGAGGTAATGCATCGTTAGCCTCCCACTTTCACTTCCAGTGGGAAGATTTTGGGTATGCGCTGACTTCATGGAAATGGGAGACCCCTCCCTAGCTTGCTTTTGCGGCCATATGGCTGAAGGCAAGCAAAACTATGGGTCGTCTGCACCCCAAGCCTCTGGGCTTGGGCCTACATGTAGGATGCCCATCAAAGGATTTGGAAGCATCTGAAGCCCCAGGCGGGGTGGAGGATGCTTGTAGGTAGCACAGAGCCGGGCAATTATTTTAGGTGGAGAGCGACTTACTGAGTTTTGGCAAGCCATCGAGGGCCACATGACAGGCAGCCAGGAGCAGATAAATATTAATTTTCTTTTTTTAGGGGTCCCGCAGGTCAGCTAGAATGGCCTGGCAGGCTGCATCTGGCCCACGGACCGCATTTTGCCCACCCCTGTGGTAGCAGGACCACACATGGTTCTTGAATGAGTCATGGATTTGGAATTGATTTGGCTGATTTGACATGAAAAAATGTCCTTTAAAAATTTTTTAAAAAGTCTCTTACAATTGACATCCCTGACCTGAGAAGCTTTCCCATTAAAATCTCTTTGAAACTCTTGAGCTTCCACGACATGATTAGGTGTCCAGGAAATGGTGTCTTTTGTCAAACCGATTGTGAAAAAACATGGCTTTTGGCTGTTGCCGTGAAGAAGGGACAGGGTCTGATCCTATCGGGCTGCTTGGGATTTTCCAGCGCTCTTTCCAAACCTGTAAAGCAAGACAGAGCCCGGGAAGAAGAGCTGCAGAACGAGCATTTTCAGTCTCACTTAAAGAGCACCGGGTTGCTGCAGCTAGGGTCAGAGCCCCACTTCATCAGCAGTGGCAGTGTCTGCTGCCATTTACCCTGGGCATGCTGACACTTTTTAAGTAGGCCTCCGCCCAGTGCTCAGGCTGAAGTGTAGTAGACAGTGCTGAATAGAGGGGAGGAATCACTGCCCTCGATGTGCTGGCAACACTCCTCCCAATGCAGCCCAGGATGCCGGTCACCTTCTTGGCAACAAGGGCACACTGCTGGCCCCTGTCCAGCTGCTTGTCCACCAGGCACCAGGTCCTTTTTGCAGAGCTGCTGCTTATCCAGTCAGTCCCAGCCTGCACCGGTGGAATGAGCACAGGCACCTGTAAAATTATGGCAGCTGGGTGCTGAGGAGTGCGAGAGGTGCAGCGGTGACTGGGTGCTCTGACTGGAGGGAGCAAGGAAGAGGCATCTTGCACTTGGAAATGTGACTGTGCAAATAAACACTGCTGGGGCCTTAGCATGTTTCCTGGGGCCCTATTCCTCTGTCTCAAAACCTGATACTCCATTCCCTGCCCTCTCCTCTCTGCTCTGCGACACACTCGGCTGTCTCTGAGCTCTGGTCTCAGCCGATCATGCTGGGGACCGTGGCTGTGGGTAAGAAAGCAGTTACATTTTCACAGGGACAGTCACATTTCAAATGGCTGTTGCAGGTACCCCACTGGAAAGAGGACCAAAGCATCATTTCACCATCCCCCCAGGACACTGAGGACAGGTGTTTGTACCCAGACCGTCCCTCGAAAACATAATAGGTGGTGACCCCAGCTTTAAATGTCATGGAGCACGTAGACTTCAGTACGTACTTGTTTTCAATTAGTGACAAGCAGGTAGAAAGTACTGCGCAATGAGTGAAGGACTCATTCTCTGCTCCTGCTCCTTTAGAAGTTTGTCTTCGTGGAAATAAACTGATTTCAATATTGTACCATAATCCTTTTTAAAGGGACGCTGGGAGGGAAGTGACCTGCCTTTAGTTTGGTATGATCTGATGGAGCATGTCATCTATAGGTAAGCGCTGAGACTTCTTTACTTATTTATTTTTAGTTTTTAGGGGCATCAGCATAGGGTTCAGGATATTAGACGGATCACCCTGTTTCACAGCTGCATCCCTATGGGTGTAACGCTGGAGTTTAGGGTTAATGGTGCACTTTGGCATTAGTGATTTCTTATATTCTTTCTCTCTCATTTGGTTTCTTTACAGATCCTGTATCCATCTGAGGTCTAAACTGTCCCCAGGAGAAAACATTAAAGTTTGGAGTTTATTCTGTCATTATGTCTCTGTATGAGCTATCATTTATAGCCAAAAGTGGGGTGTGGGACTTCAATCGAATCATAGGGAAGTGGGGCTGGAAGAGAGGTCCAGAGGTCTAGTCCGACCCCCTGCCTGAGGCAGGATCATCCCTATTCAATACAGTTCATGATCTAACCTCTGCATAAGAATATTTGAAGTATATGGAATTATTTTAGGAAATACGTGATGTTGTTGGATTCCCCTTTGTATTTATAACATCCTTGGAGGTTTTCAAGACCTGGCTCAACATAGCCTTGGCTGGGATGATGTAGTTGGGGCTGGTCCTGCTTGGAGTAGGGGGTTGGATGAGATGTGACCTCCCGAGGTCCCTTCAACCCTCATTTTTTAGGATTCTAGACCAGCATGAATATATACTTACATAATATAAAATGTTGGCATCTACACTTAAGCATTTACCAAAAACAATAGCAAAAAGAATATTTTTTAAAGTTTTATATTCTTCCCTTTTCTTTAAGTTTGTAAATGTTTTGGTCTGGGATGTTGCCTTAAGTAATGTTTTATAACATGCTCAGCAGTTTTGGAAACTGGAAAATCTATGTTTGGAAAGAGCCTGTCAGTGCATGTAGTAGCATGTGTTGTAACTTGCTTCCAGGATTTCATGTTTCTTATGGTTTGGTTTGCTGTGGTAAAGGAAATCAATGCTTTCTTCTAAAGGGTGTTGATGGTCAATGAATTTCAGTATCTTCAGCTCAAAGCCATCAGCATTCATGAGTCAAGCTCAAACAATTACAATGCATTTAAAGCTAATGAGATTTTAAAATGTTGGTGTCTTTGTACCGATCTGTATTTTGAGCGGATGTGCTCAAAAGCCCCCATGGCTCACCAAAAGCATCCAGGAACGTCTCAAAGCTAAGAAGGAGGCGCACACCCAATGGAAGGGAGGGGCCATCACCAGGGAGGACTACACCTCCATTGCTCAGGGCTGCAGAGGGGGTCAGGTAGGCCAAGGTGGAGATGAAGCTGGGACTAGCGACCCAGATCAAGGACAACAAGAAGTCATTTTTTAAATGCATAGGGGGTAAAAAGAAGGTACTGGGTAATGTGGCGCCCCTGCAAGACATGCTAGGAAATCTGGTCGTCACAACAGATGACAAAGCTAACCTACTTA